TTTTGGGTCTTTATTAGGAAAATTTTGGCCCGTACCAAGGAGCCCTAGAGTTTCTCCTATTCCTTCCTGTAATGTTTTCAGGTTGTCTACTTTTACTTCGAGGTCTTTGATCCATTTGGATTTGATTATGGTACAGGGTGATATACAAGGATCTAATTTTAGTTTTCTACAGGTGTTGAACCAATTTTGCCAGTGCCATTTACTGAATAGGCTGTCTTTCTTCCATACTATTTTTTTTGGCTCCCTTATCAAAGATTAGGTGGCAAACCAAAACATGATTGAGATTCCACCTCACCCCAGCTAGAAAGGCTATAATCAAGAAATCTAGTAACAACAGATGCTGGAGGGGATGTGGCCAAAAGGGGACCCTAATGCACTATTGGTGGGAGTGTAAACTTGTTCAACCACTTTGGAAAGAAATATGAAGGTTTCTCAAAAGACTACACATAGAGTTCTCCTCTGATCCCACAATCCCACGTCTGGGCATTTACCCAAATGATCACAAACAAGGTCATACTAAAGCTACCAGCACAACTATGTTTATCACAGCATTATTTACCTTAGCTAAGATATGGAACCAACCCAGATGCCCCTCAGTAGATGAATGGATCAAGAAAATGTGGTATATCTCTATCTCTATAATGGAATTCTATGCTTCCATCAGAAAGAATGGCACTGCCTCATTTGTTAGGAAATGGAAAGCCTTGGAAAAAAATCATATTAAGTGAAGTAAGCCAGTCGCAAAGAAATATAGGTCCCATGGTTTCCCTTATTTGCAATAACTAGCATACATATAGGATAATTTTATCACATGAGCAGAAAAACTCAAAAACTATATACATATGACCATATAAGATGGTGCTAAGTGAAATGAACCCCGATATGGACACAAGAGGTCTTTCTTTGTTGTTTTTAACATACTACGTGATTTTGTTTCCTTTGTATGTTCTTCCTCCTATGGAATATGCCCTGTTGTCACTGTACTTGATGTTGGTACCCTGCATCTTGCATATACAGTTACCTAATTTGAGGAGGGGAAGGAGAATAACAAAATGCTGAAATAAGGATATAGGATGACCCATTGTGACAATGATATTCACAAGACACTATATTGGAAGTGAACCTTACAACTTCCAGGGGAGCGAGGAGGAAGGTGGGGGAAGGAAGGGATAGTGGGAGAACACAAAGGGAGGGGGTAACAATGCTTGACAAGAAATGTACTCATTACTTTACTCATGTAACTAACTATAACCCTTTGTACAGCATCTTTACAATAAAATAAAAACTTAAAAAATCACTTCTTCCCCACTTCTTCAATGATAAATTAAAGTAACTTTCACTTTCCTAAACCCTTGGTATAGTTCTGTAAGATACATCACCTATCAGCACATAGGTTTCTTTTTGAGGTACCCACAATGTAACATTTTATATATGCATTCCTTAAGTACTTATCAAGTCCTTACAATTCTATGTGCAAGTAGATGAACCAGGCAGATCAGGACCTTCTTCTGGGGGAGTTTATATTCTAAGGGAAGAGGGACCAAGTTTTTCATCACTAATAAATAAATTAGTAAAACAGGATCATTTCAAACTTAGATTGGACAGTGAGGAAGGAAGGTGCTAGCTGAGATGAAATCTTAATCAATCCCAGAAGAGAGTGAGAAGAAAGTTCTGGGCTGGGCAGAGTGTGGTGTGTCTGGAGAAAACTTGGAGGGCAGTGTGTCTAGAGGGCAGTGGGAAGAGAAGACAAGGGTGGGAGGAGATGGGGGGGGAAGGTCAACCTTAAAGGTCCTTGGAGGCCACATGCAATGGTGTGGATTTCAGTCTAAGATTTTAAACAGGGAGTAACATGATCTAATTTACAACAAAATGTAAAATGATCTCTCTGGCTGTTGTGAAGAAAAGGGATTACACAGGGTCAAGAGTGGAAGCAGGAAGATTAATTGGAAGACTTCTGTAGTAATCAAGAACATGAGATCGCAGTAGGTGGAGTCTGATGGTAGTCGGAGACCGAGGTGGATGCACTTATGATCTGTATTGTACCAAACACAGCATCTTCAACAGTCATGTGCACTCTGTCTATGTGCCGATATTCCTCAATAAATGTCTAACATTTCACCATAGCTTTACATTGAAACATTTCTGGATTTATTTTACCATTATAGCTTAATATACTTCTTTTGGTTATAGGGAAACCAAAGCAGAGTTTATAAAAGGGATCTTATATATAAAGAAACTATGTAGGTCCCATAATGGAATGTTATTTAGCAATGAAAGCAAATATGGTGTACACTGGGAGATCATGTTAATTTTGGGAAGAAATAATCATTTGAAATGAATAGTACAAAGTGGAAGTCAAAATATATGATAGGATAAAAATAGAATTTTCAAGTACTAAGTTCTATGTTTTAAAAAAGAGTATAAACACCAGGCACTGGTGGCTCATGCCTATAATCCTAGCTACTTAAGAGGCTGAGATCTGAGGATCATGATTCAAAGCCAGCCTGGGCAGGAAAGTCAGCGAGACCCTTATCTCCAATAAACTATTCAGAAAAAGCTAGAAGTGACACTGTGGCTCAAGTGGTAGAGTGCTAGCTTTGAGTACAAAGAGACTCAGGGACAATGCCTAGGTCCCAAGTTCTACCACAGGACAGGCAAAAAAAAAGTATAAACTTGGTACAATTGTAGCTACTTGGGAGGCTTAAGTATTCAAGCCTAGGCCTATGTGTTTTAGTAAGACCTAGTCTCAACAGAAGGAAGGAAGGAAGGAAGAAAGGAAGGAAGGGAGGGAGGGAGGGAAAGAGGGAGGGAGGAAGGGAGGGAGAGAGGGAGGGAGGGAGAGAGGGAGGGATTCTGTCTTCAGTCAACATAGCTGAAATTGTGTACCTAATCAGATCATTAATTTTAGTTAAAATTATAAAGACATTTCTAGTCCTAACTTTTTGTTCTTTGCAAGTATGCAATCCTCATTTTCATTATATGATAAATCTCCTAGTAAGTAAACTAGCACTATCTTATTGGAAAGGAATGTTTATGAAATTCTAAGAAGCTTGCCTGTGACCTGCTTTGTTTCTACATTAGGAATCTGGGAAAAATCTGGACAATAGAATAGGGCCCTCCTCTTTCACATCGACCTTCCAGAACATTGAGGATCTTGCCCATGCAGATTTATCCAGCATTTTGAATTAAATCTAATTCCCTTCAATACAAAAGAAAATCCAAGAGAAAAACAGTATCCTTTTTTTTTTTGTCATTTTTCACCCCAAATGTTAAATGACCCTGAATTGTGTGAAAATTGGCCCCAGTCAGTGTGAAAACTGGCTGAAATCTATATGAAAGGCAGTCTGGGTTTGTCAAAGTAGTTCATGAACTTTGGCCAAACTTTCAAGGAACGTAGTCCAAGTCTTAGTTTGTACTGCAACATGAAACCAGGTGAATTTCAGACGGTGTCAGGTTTCACTCAGAAAATTTGGCCTAGCTTTATAATCAATCATCACTCTTTGTAACGATGAAAGCCAACACACCTTTGTGCAAACGAGGACTGTGTGCAGACTGATGACAGCTAGGCTGTGAACCAGCCCTGCACTTCCTCTGCCAAGGGAAGGGCGCTCAGAATGGAAAGCTTTCCCCCTCTTACCTGGAAAAGGCAAGCCGAGTGATTTTGATACTGTATGTAGAAAGACATGATATTCAACACACAGAGACAGGCCACGTGAACTATGACCACCAATAGAGCAAGTGGCTCTGGTCTAATCATTTATGAGGTATGAACGTGTTATTCCATTCACGTTCATGAAAGTAGATAGCAGCACATCTAACCTCTTTGACCATGAAGATGAGTGTTTAGCTCAGAGCTACTTATCAGCTATAGTAATTGCCACGAGGAAGTTACAATGGAGCCCTAATGCAGAATCATTATTCCTATAGGAAGAAGTGGCTGAGGAATAAAAAGAAAAATAAATCACAGCATCACATGCATCCAGTTGAAGAACCACAGAGACATAGTAACACAAAAGTGACTGAGTTTTTTATCAACTGTGTATTTTACTAAGGTTTCTCTGTATTATGCAGTATCACTGCATTCAATAGTGATCTAGACAGCTGTACATCTTATAGAAAGAGCTCTTTGGTTCCCAACCTCCTGAAAAATTTGAAATGTGCTTTTCGTGTGTGTTTGTGTGTGTGTGTGTGTGTGTGTGTGTGTGTGTGTGTGTGTATCTCTTCTTTTCCACCAAATCCTAGTTTTTGTGCACAGTGACATGAGAAAATTGAGAGGTATGTCTGAGCCACTACATCATTGGAACAGTATGTCTGAACATTCGGGTAATAAGGCACAGATGTGAAGCAGAGGACTTGGCACTACCAAGGTAACAACAAAGCATTCACCATTGGTCATAATGGTTGAAAGGGCCACATTTGAGATGCGTCAAAGAATGCCCTCTTTCCCACAGTGTTGAGATCCTGTTACACCTTTTACCTGTCTTATAAAATCTAGGCTTACCTCCCCACCCCCTCCCCAAGAAATTCAAGTATTATACAAACTTCTGCGAAATAATAAAAACATAAAAATGCATTAATTTTTTTTATCTATCCAAAAACATACTTATGCAATAGCACGTAAAGTCTAAGTGCAGAAAAAGGCCAAATTCAAGAGCACACCACACGGACTGGAAGTTGCAAAAACAATGCATGCAAATCTGAATGACCCCATGATCCTTTGGAATGGAGGCTGCTGCTGATTTGTAGAAGTGATTCTGGCCCTTGATCAGTAGGTCTAATCACTGTAACATGTTTTACTTATAGGCATAAAAGTCAGATGATACATGAGATACACACATTCATTATTAGTAAGGCCTTTCCATTTTCAAGTGGGAAGACATCTCTGTTAGCCATTACTACATTCTGCAGCACAAAAGCAGTTTTCATGCGGGGGTACTTTCATTCATTAAGTTTGGAGCTGGAAACTCCATTTTTCTTAGGATAAGAAGAAAAGAACTTACCCGAGGCCCCTGATCACCTTGTTCCCCCTGCAGAATGGGAAGATAGGAGGGTGGCTTTAGTCAAGACTCATTTGTGGTGCTTATTCAAAAGGTCAAAACATAAAACATGTTCCGGGGTCAAACCGACATGGATGGTTCAACAATCTGGATCTTCTTACCTTATCCCCTTTTGGACCAGGGGGACCCTGGAAAAAGAAGAAAGAGGGGGAAAAAGTTAATGAAAATAACTGAGCTATATCAGATCTACTTTAAAGTTTTATATAAAGGACACAGAGATACAGCTGTTGTTGAAGTTTCCCAAAGCATTTTTGCTTGTAAACCATCATTATAATGTAGCTGGAATATGAAACTGATACACAGTTATATACTGATATACAGATATATACTGTTATACCTTCAGTATATACTTAGGATAGGCTGAATAAATTTTCCTGAAGCAAATTTACTTATTTACTAAACAAGACGTAGAATACTACCCTGACCTCTGGCAGTATAATTTTCTTTCCTATGTCCATTCCATGAATGAAGCCACAGTACATATGTCTGGCCTCTTTTATTCAAAATGTGTGAAACTCATTTCTAATTTGGTGCACAGTAGCAGACTGCTCTTTCTTACTGCTTCATAAAATTCCACTATGTGACTACACCATAATTTATTTGTTCATCCCACTACTGATGAGAATTTGTTTTTAGGAGTTTTTTTTTAAAAAGAGTATTGACAATTATAAAGAGTATTCCTATAAACATTTCAATGTTTATTTTTTCTTTTTAAAATATGATCTTATTGTTCTTATTAAGGTGTTTACAGAGGGGTTACCATTTCATAAGTCAGATAACAAGTACATTTCTTTTTTGGACAATATAATCCCTCTTCCTTTGCTTTCCCTCAGTTTCCCCCCTCCCATCCCTGCCCTCAAGTTACATAGAAAACACAAGTCAAATCTCTCCTGGAATCACTTTACCTGGCAGAACAGCATTTTCCGCATAGTGTATACTAAGTAACATGATTACATTTGTTTAGCCTTCCTTTGCTGCATGCCCCCCTTTTGCCGGCACAAAAGGAAGAAAAAAAGTATAAACAAATACTACCATCACCCCCCAAACCATGTTTCCATTTCCTGGGGTTTGTTTCAATAAATAGTGTTTTAAATGTTGAGAGAAGTTATACCTCTGGGGTCCTCCCCTAAGGGTGTCTTTCCTCCTTTAGTTTCACGGTTTGTGCGGGAATGCCTAGTGTCCTGAATATCATGTCCAGTTATGTATTCGAGCTAGCTTTACCATGTTTTTCTTTTTGGGTGGAACACTATGTTCATTTCTGTAAGCTGTGTATGTAGGAATGGCATCATTAGGTAAGAAAGTATCTGTATTTAGTTTCAATAGATATAGCTGAACTGTTTTACTAAAGGGTTTCTACCAATTATGCCCTTCTCTGCAATGGGAGAATCTGGTTTATCTTCCCAATACTTGTTAGTTTCTTTCTTTTCATTTTATATATTCTGGTGGGGGAGTCTATTAAGTCTACTTGCTTTTAGTTTGTATTTCCATACTTATTAGTCAACACCTTTTTATTTTGCATTTTCTGTTACAAACGGCCCACACCTCTTATGTTTGTTTTGTTTCATCTGATTGTCATATGCATTTTCTAGAGCACATTAGACATTATATGGCGTGCATATGCAATGAGACAGGCAGAGATACAGGTAAGAAATTCTTTGCATCTTCTGGGTGAGTCTTTGTAATAGCTATACTGGGAGACAGGACGAGGCTGGGCAGGAAGAGACATCTAGGTTCTAGCAAATTTCCCCCATTTTGGTTTCCCCCATTCTGGTGACCACTAAGTCACAGAAGATAGGTGTGGAGCTATGAGCCACCTTCCGCAATGTGTTCTGCCCAGAGTCAGCGAAAGAAAAATGGCCCCTAACTCCCATTCTCACTGGGGGCCATTCAAGTAACAGCTGTCAGGTGCTCGGGAACTTAACGTTAACAACCATAGTATGCCTTATATTTTCTAAAGTTTGCTATCAGGTTTTCTGTGTTTGTTAACTAATATTTTCAGCAAATCAAATGAGTAATGACTGCAGTCTAATTAAGGCTGAGGAATTAAGGTATTGTGACACATATGAATAATCGCTAATGTGATTCCGGTAGGGTTTTAGTTTGGGAAGGGCAGAGGAAAAGCAAAGGCCTACTATCAGGAGTTAGGCAAGAAACGAGTTTGTAAGGAGATGGAGATAGTGGGTGTTGTGTGGATGAACTGAAAAGGGAAATGGGGACAAATACAGGCAGAATACTTGAAGTTCATACATAATAAAGTGAGAAATGCAAAAGGAGTCTGAGGGGAGAGGACAGACAGGATGGGGAGAATGACGGAAGGAATGACTGACCAAGAAGCACTGGACACTTGGGTCATGTTAAATTGTGACCCCCTTCTACAGCCTTTTTGTTGTGGGGCTTGAACTTTGGGTCACTGTCCCTGAGCTCTTCAGCTTGAGGTGGGTGCCTAACCACTTTGAGTCACAGCATAACTTCAGTTTTCTGGTGGTTAATTGAAGCTGAGAGTCTCATGGACTTTCCTGCCCAGACTGGCTTTGAACTGTGATCCTTAGATCTCAGCCTCCTGAGTAGCTGGGATTACAAGTGTGAGCCACTGGCACCCAGCTTGTACAGCCTTTTGAGGCTCAGATAGAAAGCTTGGGCAACATAATGGACATTCATGGCTTAAGTTCCTATTACTGAAGTCTGTTTTAACTTTTACATATACTCATTGATGCAAGAGTTCACATGAAAGACAAGGTGATCAACAAGCCAGATAGGGTAGTACTGAAGTCAAACACCTTACTAAGATGACACAAAAAGTGACTAAGTACATGAAAGCCAGATGTCCCTGTGAAATCCTCCCCAACCCCTAGCCAGGCTTTACAGCTTAGCCTGGCTGTACAGGTGGGACTTCAGCCCACCCCCAAGGCACTCTGCTGATGCTACATGCAATGCAGAATTCAAAGCTCCCCTAAAATCATGTCCCATGGAGGCAACAGAGATAATTCTTTTCCTCAAAGACCACTTCCCAGTGCCGAAGCCACCAACGTGTCAGTAGCGCTCTTGTAATCCGGAGTGGCCTAAGCAGTGGATGCTTACACTTCATGAACTCATGAAAAATTGCCATGGACAATGGAGCAACACAATACTGCTGCTTTAAAGGCAGACAGCATGGCGTCCTGACACCTGCCAGCTCTTCAGAAGCAAAGCTGAGGTCACCCTCCATTCACAGCTGTGGCGGCTGCTTCGGCCACCGGGGCCCCTCTGGGCCCTCACTTGTGTGTCTGGGATTAACTGCAGGTGTCTTCTCTGCTCACTGAAATCCCACTCTTCCTTCTGAATTGACCCTGTCCCCTAAAGACAGGGGTTCAGTTTCAAGCACTGCATAGATTACCTTGATAAACAGCGCATTTTGAAAGTTGGGAGTCATGTGAAAACATTACAAAGAAAAGTTAAAACATTACAAAGAAAAGAGTAGTTGTGGCTTGTTTTCCCCTCTACATTTACTAACCTTAAACATCAAAGTTAGGTCATGGTTTTAGTTTTTAGTTTTATGTCTTTAGACATTAAAAAAAAGTCATGAGCATAAATTGAAGGATAGGCATCAACCCAAACTAAAAGCCAATTATATGGCTTAAACATGGATATTTATCCACAGTGATCTTGTATTTTCTAACTCTTCCAAATTTAACAATATTTCATGTGTCATTCAAACAACAGCATCAATGGCTGGTTGGTAATTATTTGAAGGTAAAGCTGGGGCTAAAAAGAGCACTTAGGTCAAAAGAAAGGAAATATGGTGAAATCAGAAGTCGTAAATAAGAAATGAGTCACAGCTTTCTTTTGACTCCTCTCCTGGTCTAGTTTAGAATCCTGTAGATTGATATTTTATAAGGCCCACTTCAATAAATAAGAACATCAAAGACATGACCTTTCTAGTTTTCTAGCCCCTAATTGCATAAACACAAAAGAGGTGTGCATAAAGGTTTATAGCTATTACTGTTTGAAGGGATGATTGGGACATTTTTTGAGAGTGTGGTTAATGTGTTATAGATTTGCTGCTGAACTATTTATAAATGTCAGTGGCAAACTTCAGATTCACCCCTGTTCTAATGGTTTTAAATTTGAAAATTAGACTTACCACCTTCCTGTTCGTTCTGGGCCTGTACTTTTTTTTTTTTGCTGGTCTTGGGCCTGAACTCTGAGGTGCTGTCCCTCAGCTCTTCAGCTCAAGACTAGCACTCTAGCTACTTGAGCCACAGTACCACTTCCAGCTTTTTCTGCTTATGTGGTGCTGAGGAATCGAACCTAGGGCTTCATGCATGCAAGGCAAGCGCTCTACCACTGAGTCACCTTCCCAGCCCTGTACTGTTTTTTCAGAACTCTAAATTTATGTCTGCCTTCACAATGTCTGAAGTTTGCATATTTCTTTCCTGATTGACTATTTCAACTAAGTGAGAAAAAGAAAAGAAAAGGCTAAAAGAAGCACAGTGAGAGATAGTCAAGAAATAGCTGATGGTGTTTCAAACTATATGATTTAGCTAGATGAGGGAGTCACCAGAACCTGGCATCCCTCAAATGGCCTTTGATACGTGAGAGTTGACAGTTTTGCTCACTTTGAACTGGAAAAACCTAGAAAAGGAATTATGTTTAACAAAAAGCCATACAAACAAAGTGAAGCTCTAGTAAAAGTAGACAAATGAAAACCCCAAGAAAACCCCAGAAACCCTTGCTGTCAGGGTTGCTGAAGAAATCATGGAGTTGATGTCAAGCCAAGAAAAAGAGTAGATACTGCTTATAGATAACCTCTTTTGTGTCCTCTAGGTTGCAGAATGAAGAGGACACAAAAGATTTACTTTTAAGTATGTGTATCTGACTATCAGTGGAAAAGGATCTGGGTCTGGAGGGCAGATGTATAAGGAGGATTTGGATGGGTGGGATGAACAGTGCTGCAGGAAGGCTGGGATGGAAATGTATTGCAAGGAGCTCTTTGCAGGTGGCCCAAAATAAGGGGCTCCAAGGAGGGTAAAGTAGTTCAAGCAGAAGCAAAGAACATGTGTAAGAGAGGACTCTAGGCAGTAAAAGAAGGATAAGGTTCAAGACACTAACAGCAGATGTAGAGATGGGGCTGGAGATAAGGAATAGAAAA